CACAATCCGAAACCGCAAAGATCTACTCCCTCCCTCTCCCCCCAACAAAAACACCTGAACTCCAAGTTTACATGCATCCCAAGGAGTCCGATCTTCACACCTATCCTGCGGAGGCCGTGCAGGCCACTCGATTTTACGGGGACTGGGCCTCGCTCGGCTGTGCTCGTCTGAGCAAGAAAATTTGAGTGAGAGCGCGTGAGCGAGCGCGTGAAGGCAGGCGGCCGGGAGCATTATTTCCTGGCGGCGGATTACAGGTATCTGATTCACAGAGCAGGCTTCAGACAGGCTGTTCGGGCATGTGGGTTTCGAGGATGGGAACCTGGAGTGCTGGAATTCGTGAATCCAGATTGAGCACTCGTCGGCCAGCTTTCCCGTTTTCAGTTTTGAATTCTAGCGCGCGTTGTAAAACCTACACCCCGAAACCTCCGCAACACCCTGAAACCGATCTGAGCACAAAATCCACAGCAAAAAGGTGCGGAATACCTTCATCCACGTGGCAGCAGAGGCTGGTGCGGAGAGTGATCGACTTGCTTTGTCCTGCCCCCTGGTTGAGCTTGAGGCCTACAGAGAGACCCCATAGTAGTTCCTTTGTGGGATTACCTTATGGGATTCTAAATATGAGCCTCCAAACGGAGCTACTATGGGGCCTCTGGGTAGCTTACGGTTTTCGGACTTAGGGTTGCCACAGCAGGCTCCACGCAAAAAGGCATCGGTTTCAGGACTTGAGGTCAAGTAATTCACAGCCATTGTCGGAAGTACAGAAGTGCCGTACTCCCTGTAGGCAGTTGCAGAACTCGCAAGAGGTCAAGTCATTTGGGGGCTAGCTGGCATGGATATGGTTTTTGGGAGTTACACAAGGCTTTTTCGTTGATCCGAAGGCCCCTAGAAGCCTATCAGTATACCGTATATTCCCGTGAACTGCATACCAATCACGTATTACGGCCTCATAGTAAACCCCGCAAAATCCGAGAAAACCTTCTACGTAGAATCCCGGAAGGAAGCCCAATCCAATGCTCAAGGGTCCCTACGTGAGAGGCATTGAGTTGGGGCTTCGGAGATTTGGTCCCACAGGCGCTTCAGGCCTTCAGATGTCATGGGTTAAATGAAAGCTTTTTTTCAGGGCTCTGCCTCAAGGGCAAAATATTTGGTTGCTAGAAGGGCTACGGCTACTATCGGATTAATGCTAAGAGTTACTATAAGGTCTACCAGTCTACCACAAATGTTGCTGCAAGGGCTGCTGTATGAGTTGTTATATGTCTTACAAAGTCTTACTGTAAGCCCATCCGGGCTACCATAATCAGAGCCATACAAGGCAACAAGAAGTGATTTCAATTCTGATTCTGCTCCGAAGAATCTGGGCGCTGCAGAGGGAGAACTTGGCTGATCGCACAAACGGTTCTAGATTGCATCTAGGCTTCCGAAGCCTGACAGTTGGTGTGCAGTAATCCTTACAAATAGCCCTGCGGGTAGCACCTAGAGTGTCCTTAATCTAGGGGCCAAAATAATGGGGGTTCCCTATTACAATTATAGTATACTGGGCCCCAAAACCCTATTCTAACTAGTCAGGCCCCTACATCAGTGTCCTTAAAGGAACTGCAGCTTAGTCCGCGAAGCGGTGTTTGCCTACGGTACGCCTTTCCTCGTTGGCTTTTCATGGCCATTGTGCCCACCAATCCACCAACCCCTACCTACCTACCTCAATGCCCGTTTGCCCGCCTGAATACCTACCGACCTACATACATACAGTCGCTAATGAACACATGCGCACACTCAGTTATCTAACTATCTATGAAAACACGTCCGGACAAAATGTAGGTATGTGAGCATGTATAGTTACATATATATGTATATATATATATATATATGATGTACATCAACATGCGTTTTGTTGTATGCAAGTGCCTGTAGGATCACTACTCGCAATAGCAGCTGGCAGCAACAACTACACTTTATTGCACTTTAGCATGGCTGCTCTACAATTACCACGGCTGCTGTACTTGCTAGTTGTTACATGCACCTAACAAACCCTTCTGGTAGCCCTCCTAGCAGTAGCCCTTCTTGTAAGCCTTGTAGAATGATGCCTTTGTAGTACCACAAGAGCTGAGGCCCTTCGAGTGCCTTGGCTGTTGTGGTGGGGTTCGGCAATGCGTGGAGTCTTGGGAATTTGGGGTTCGCCAGGAAACTACTATCTACGAGCGTACCGGGCAAGAATAATCACATCTGTCCAGTCTTGGTCTGTACGGGTTCAGGCGTGACGTGGCTCGGCACTGCATTGGCCTACTGTGCGAGAGGTGTAAGCCCATGACCATTCCAGTCAGCCTTGGATCTCGAACCTAGCATCGAAGCTAAGAAACAAAGCAGGCGCCATGCAGTGCAACGGCCCATCCTTCAGAAGCTCCACAATTGGGTTGACTGCTAAGGAGGTTTAGAGGCACCTGTTGTGCAAGGTGCTCGAAGTGACTTAGGGGCGGGAGTGCGGGAAGGGTGTTGAAGCTTTTGCTACTGCTTTCGGCTTTTGCGAGCGGATGCAGTGCGCACTTGTCACATGCACCGACACAAAATCCTTGACAGATCCTGCGAACTTTCCCTCTGCACTTATCTGCACTTCCGCCACTTAAAATCCCATCATGATATCTCCAGAACACACTTACCACAACATTTCCAAGGCCGTTCTTGTTGTTACACCGAGGCCAAGTCGGCAAGATTCACGATTTGTTCACAGATGCTTGGCTGTGGGAAAACATCTGATGAGAAAGGGTAACGGCCAGTTGCGATAAGGGCTCCTTGAAAGGATCTAAGCGGATACTGCGTGGTTTGGGGTCTAGGGATCGTCTGGTGGTAAAGGCCCGATGCAAAAAGGGATCGTCTGGCTAGACTTAGTAGTAGAAAGTTTGCTGTTCCGCGATTTTGCGTTTTCGGTGCTATTCGTTCTTCTCTATGACGTGAGTTTCTGCGCGCGTCGGTCGCACCATGTTTTCTGCAGACAGCCAAGGAGGAGTTCCAGGAACCTGCAGGCAAGCCCGTCTTGAACTTGGAGGAGCCGGCACAGCCGCCATGAAGGTAGATGTCAAAGGTTCAGGGCCTGGGGGTGTGCATCGAAGATTTTCTTGATTGTTGATCGACGCATTGATAAATCATGCACGATACATTTTCCTACAATTCAACAGTGTTAATTAATACTCATCATGATTCTATCATTGGCAGCTACGGGAACTCCGGGCCATCCTCTTTTTTCTGCCCCCTGGGCCTTGAGACGCAATGGACATTGACATGGCCAGAGACTCCAATATCCCTTAATTTATAACGAATATTCCTTAAATCATATTAGGGATCGTATTATTATTTAAGGAATATTCCTTAATCAAGGGATATTGGAGTCTCTGGGTGGCTTTGCAGGAGGCACTTTTCGAACCCCGTGTGACCGTGCCCGAACCACCGAGGCCCTGGGACGGCCTTAATAATGAGAGTAGGGTTCCTTTAAAGGGTTCCAGAAGGGTTACTATAAGGGATCTATAAGGGTACGATAATATAGGGGCCTTAATCATTAGAATAGGGTTCCTTTGTAGGGGTCTATAAGGGTTACTATAAGAAATCTATAAGGGCACGATAATGTAGGGGCCTTAACAATTAGCATAGGGTTTTAGGGGTTCCTCATTATAGTTCTAATACAATGTACCCCCCCAAACCCGATTCTACTTGTGACGGCCCCTATATTAGGGTTCGAGCCTTTTGGCTTTACTGCTCTTGTGTTCTATTTTGTTGTAACTTAAGGGGGTTAATGAGCTTCTAAGAGGGGGTAAGGGGACAGGGCGTAGGATTCGAACCTTTTGGGGTGGAGCATGGTACAAATTTCTCTGCAGAGCATGGGCACAAGATTCGGGCTTGTCTTGAAGTGCGGAATGTAACTGTATGAACGCTGCCCATGTTGTGGCGGCGCTATGCGAAAAGTGTTCATACGTGCAAGAATGGAAAGCGTAGCAGCGCACGATCCGAAAATGCAGCGGTAGTGAGCCATCCTGAGCCTTAGCCTTAAACCTGGACTTGCTTCCTGCTTTGCAAGCGGGAGGCCAGCCTGCGCAAAGTTCAGGGAATGCTTGAGACCAATGGTTGTTTGAAGTTGTCTAGTCTTGCTTTTTCGAAACCGAGAGCTTGTGAATTGAACTGCTGGCATGAGAGCATGCAACGTAGTCAGGTCCAGAAGCACATTGCCGTCCCCATGTGTTTTTTCATCTTCACACCCATCCCAATGCCCAAGGTGTCCGCTTCCCTGAAACTCAGCATCCCACGCAGATTTCCCAAGCTGTCAGGGCCCCTCTGGCCCCGATTGGGCCAAGTGAGCCTCAGGCAAAGGGACCCAGAAGGGTTCTCAAAGGTTCAGAGATGTTCAGATGATGTGGGGCTAAAGTCTTATATGAGAGTTTCCGAAAATAGGGGACCTTGATATAGGACCCGAAATAGTAGGATCCTTATGATAAGGACCCAAAAATAAGGTACCCCTATTTTGGGAAACTCCCATATCTAGTTAGGGGTATAGAGGAAGCAATACAGAAGACAGGCTTCGGGCTTTGCAGGTGTGCAGCAGGTAATCGCTGAGGCATTGGGGGTGTTTGCGAATATATCACGCCAGGCCAGAGATCAGAAAGGCTCCTAGGCTTCTGGGCTACGGAGTGTTTTGTTAGGAACGAGGTGGGGAAGGGGGTTTAGTGTAGGAGTGCTTAGTCATGAGAGTTGAGTCTTAAGACTTTTCATGATCGGCAGCTTCTCAGTCTTTGGACGGAGGAGTCTTGCTTGAAAGGACCCCAATCCTTCATGTTTACCAGGTTGCAGAGGGGTGCCACTTGTCGACGATGCCTCGATCCGGGTATTTCTCTTGGGCGATTCTGCCTCATCTCATGAGAACCGTACTATATGGAACCAACGCGAAGCTCACACCTCGTAAAATCGCGGCTATGGACCGGACAGCATATTTTAAACCACAGCTGTGTCCAGAATTTCACCACATGCCTTTGTCATTTCATGTAGGGTATCGAGGTACCGGTTTCTGTGCAAGCTGCTGTCTGACAGGATGTTCATGGGTTCTTGGTTTCAGATCGTTGCAAAGGGCGAGGTCTTCGTTATTTTCTTGTGAGGACTTTGCTGAAACTACGATCCGCCCCACCTCGGTGCCGAGACGCTTGGTCGCAATCGCCCGGTGCAAAGGGATTCCCGGGATCAGAGAGGCAGTAGCGCTAGTCTTTGTACATGGATCGCGCTTGTTTCTGGAATGCCAGGCTCCTGGTTCGAGATGTCTCAGAGGGCTAATGACACCACAAGCCCCGAAAGAGCCTTAAGCCCTGCAGTGGGACGGGGAAGAAACCTGAGGTTCCTACGCTTACAACGGCCAGTACTCCCCTGCCCATGGCAATGGCGCAGGAAGACGCTGTACAGAGCGGTACAGCGACGGTTTATCAGACCTCTACCCCGACACGTACCCAGAGCGGTATGTGGGGAGATACCACGATCGTTACACCGAGCCCTACCCAGATCGCGGGGCGGGTCCCTACGCGGAGCAATACCCGATGCCCTTACCAGAGCGGTACAGCAAAAGGTATGCCGAGCCCTACCAGGAACAGCAGTTCCAGGACTCATACCGGCCGTATGACAGACCGTACGACCGGCAATATGACAAGTATCCAGAGCGGTATGGCAGGCAGTACCCCGAGCGTCCCCTTGAGTATCCGGAGCCCTGTGTGGAGCGGTACAATGCCGGGACCCCAGGGGAGGGTCAGCTGTCTTAACAAAGACGGGGTTTGCGAAGCTGCGCTGTTTCGGTTGACCTGATTGGTTCCCCTGGTCGCTCGCTCCCGCTCTCACTCACTCCCTCACTCTCACTCGCTCACTCACTCACTCACTCTCTCTCTCTCTCTCTCTCTCTCTCTCTCTCCCTCACTCGCTCACTCTCTCTCTCTCTCTCTCTTACTCACGGCCTCTTTCTCTCTCGCTCTCCCTCTCGCTCGTGCTATATTACTGTCAGTAGTTCCAGTCCAGAGACCAGCAGTAGCAGGCTGATAGTTCGAAAGGCCCCTATCTTTCAGTGGGCTTAGGGATTATCGGACAGAGATTGGGCGGACAGGCTTTTGTGCAGTGTTTTGGGGAATAGTTCCTTGTCTTTGCACTGTCCATGCTGCCAAGGCTTATCAATCGAGCTCCCTTTTCACCGACCCGCGCAACTCGCGACCAGAGATGCCGCCTCTGCCGCAGCAGCCTCTTGTCGGTGGGCGATCAAGGATAAGCCATTTTGTCAGAATCCCGACCGGAACCCTGCCCGAAGGATTCAAAGTACCTCTACAGTAGAAGGTAGGGTTTCTATATGAAGAAATTGCTATTATGATTTGGGGAAGTATCCCCCATTTTAACAGTACTTAGGCCCTCTGGGCCTGGTGGAATCCCAGGTCTGGAACGTGTGTTCGTGTTAGGCGAGGGCCAGGCTGCCCCTAGAATTCCCAAAGCAGCGAAGAGTGCAGCTTTTCAGTCAGTCGTCCCTCAGCTCAACATAGCCTTAATCTAATTAGAGTTAGAATATATATATATATATATATATATATATATATGTATATATATGTAATATTATATGAATAAGGACCCCCCGAAACAGTAATTCTCCCTATATTATTACCAGAAACTTTTAAACCTGTAAGCCTCCCGCTTGAAACCCGAGGATGCCGCCGCCGCCCCCTTCGGTGCAAACACCTCCCCCGCCGTTGCCACCGCCGCCCCCGGCGCCCAAGAAGAGCCGCGCAAGGGAGGCGCATCAGGGACGCAGCGGCTGTTTGCAGGATTCCGGTTCCAGGGGTGCTCCCCGAAGGTTTGGCCCAAGTCAAGGCATCTGGGATTCGCAGTCACCGCAGACGCCAAGTGTGACCCGTGTTTGTTGCAGCCCCGATCTGCAACGACAATACGAAGTGCCAGTTCTGCAACGACTGCTCCCTCTTATGTGTCTTAGTCATCGCAGTATGTGGCATCTATTTTGGGCTTTTCGGCAGACTGCCGACAGCCACATATTTGTATCACGCCACTCGAATATAGAATCTATGTTTGGCTGTTGCAGTCGGGTTGGGGTTGTCTTGCAATTTCAGAGACTTATTGTTCGCGCCGCGGCATTGCTTCAGGGCCAGTGCTGTCTCCAGCCTGAGTAGACAAGTACTGTGTTCAGGCTCCGGTGATGACTCTTGGCTCCATGCCGGAGAATCTGCTGGGCTCACCTGTGCCTTATCCTGAATAGTGTTGGACATGCACCGGTTGCACCTTGAAGAATTTGGCACCATATCACGAAGTTTAAGAGAAGGAATCCCGGACAGTCGGCCCTAAATGGGATCGCTGAAAGCCTCCTGTTTTAGGGGTTGGGGAGTATAGCGAGGCCAGTCATGCATGTTGGAGTCTAATGTAGGGGGCCTTAACAATTACCCTACTATTCTGGGAGTTCCTTATCATAACTATAGTATAATGGGCTCCGAAACCCTATTCTAATTATTATTAAGGCTCCTAAATAGGCAGGGATGCTTGCTCGGGGCCCAGGCTCAGCGGCTATTTGCATCTTTAAAGCGCAAGGGACGGAAGCGCGAGGGTCCATGCAACGGTCATGACAGACCAATGCAAGGAACCGGGGCCCCATAGTAAGAGTAATTTAAAAATACTAGCAATAATCATAGTACTAGTAATATTAATATTTGTACTAGTTTACTAGTCGTAGTCTTAGTAATAATAGTAATAGCATTCGAAAAGCTTCCGGTTCCTGCGAAGGAGCTTCCCAGTGTTGGCTCCCGAGATCACCGGCTTGGCGGGTGCAAGCCTTGCGCCTTCCTCGTCAAAGGCTCTTGTAGGGTTTAGGGTTTAGGGTGCATGTCTGTGTGTCTGTCCGTGTCCGTCTGCTTGCCTCTGCAAATAAATTGATTACGTCTACCAAATCTATGCATATGTAGATGTATTTATACATATATACACATACATACATACATACATACATACATACATACATACATACATATATATATATATATATATATACATGTGGGTAGTTGTCAAAATTCGAGACCCTGTTTGGGTACCTTAATACTAGGGGCCGTATTATATTGAGAACCCAAAAGGGAACCACAATTTTGACAAACACCCATACATACATATATATATATATATATATATACACACATACATATCTTCTTCTTCACTTCATTTCGATTCATCTCTTTGTTTGGTTCGTGGTAGTACTGGGAACGGCACTTGCAACCACAAGTCATGTGTTGGTTGTGATGTATGCTTGTTGTTGTTGTTGTGTCATTCCACGCTTGGAAATTAGACCCTACGAGGCTTCAGGCACATAGACAGCTCTTTGTTGTGCGTCGACTCCGTTAATCGAGGGCTGCTCTAACGTCGCATTGAAGCTGTGGCTTCTTGAAGCTTTCCCTGGTTGCAGGCTGCCAAAATGGCATTATGTGCAAGTTTTGCCACCTGTGCGATGCTGGCGAAAAGATGCTTGGATTGCCGTATAGCGGGGGGTCTGTGCGGACAACCTCGAACGTTTGGCGTGTACCACTCTGGTAGGGCATTGCGCCAATGGCACAGTCACAAGACCACGGTTTCCATGAAATGTCTTGCTGAAGCAGCGCCTGCACATGTGTAAGACACTGGAACATTGCAGATGCAGGCCGCTGGCAATCAGGTCCCTGGTGTGCTTTGTATTCTGCTGCTTCGGGGTCCTATTTCGTAGGCACTTTCATAGTCTTGTATTTGGAGACTCCCACGTGAGCCGAGGAGCTGTCACAGTAGTCTCTGGCACAACCCTAAACCCTAAACCCCCCGAAGTTTCAACGAAGGCTGAAGTGGCTGCAGTGTGCCGAAGCGCTCCCCGCACCCTCAAACTCGCCAGCCTGGTAGACCCGACGCAGATATGGGAGTTTCCGAAAACTAGGGGTACCTTAGTTTGGGATCCTTGCAATAAGGATCCTACTATTTAGGGTGCCATAACAGAGTCGCTATTTTCAGAAGCTCCCATAATATGTGTCCTCCCAACACCGATGAGTCTCCATGGGCCCAGAACTTCGCAAAGCAGCTCAGGAAGCGCCGGCAAAAGGCGAAGAAAGCTGCCTTCAAAGCGGTGCAGAGGCCAGAGACGGTATCATAGTACAGGATGTGAGGCTTTGAGATCAAGAGTTCATCTGAGCTGTTCTCCAAATCTGGGTTCGCTGCGACGACTTGGAGAGACTATCGGAGGCTTACTTCGTCTTGCTGCCATGATTTAGATCCGCTGCACCGTTTTGTGAATTTTGGGTGAGATCTCAGTTTGCCGTCGTGCGTATGGCGGACTAATAAGAGCCGCAGACCTAGACGGCAGTTACCAGTAGTAGTAGTAGTAGTAGTAGTAGTAGTAGTAGTAGCAGTAGTAGTAGTAGTAGTAGTAGTAGTACTACTACTACTACTGCTACTGTTGCGGATACTACCACTACTACTACTACGTCTTCTACTGCTACTGCTACTGCTAAAGCTACCGCTGCTGCTAGTACTCCTACTACAACAATTACTCCTACTCCTACTCCTCCTACTACTACTACGACTACTGTAGTAGTAGTAGTAGTAGTAGTAGTAGCAGTAGGAGGAGTAGAAGTAGGAGTAGGAGTAGGAGTAGGAGTAGAAGTAGGAGTAGGAGTAGGAGTAGGAGTAGGAGTCGGAGTCGGAGTCGGAGTCGGAGTGGTAATGGTAGTGGTAGTGGTAGTGGTAGTGGTAGTGGTAGTAGTCGGAGTCGGAGTCGTAGTCGTAGTCGTAGTGGTAGTGGTAGTGGTAGTGGTGGTAGTAGTACTAGTAGTAGCAGTAGTAGTAGTAGTAGTAGTAGTAGTAGTAGTAGCAGTAGTAGCAGCAGCAGCACTAGCACTAGCACTAGCACTCGCACTAGCACTAGCACTAGCACTATCAGCAGTAGTAGTAGTAGTAGTAGTAGTAGCAGTAGTAGTAGTATCAGGAGCAGGAGTAGGAGTGGGAGTCTGAGTAGTGCCAGTGCATACCAGTTGCAGAATTTCGTTGTGTAGTAGCAGCAGTAATAGCGGTATCATCAGTTTCCAACGACGGCCTCGACGATGACGGCGACGACGACGACAGCCACTGCCGCGGTCACTGCTGCTCTTGCTGCTGCTGCTGCATCTTTACTTTTGCGCCCATTGTTCCAGCAGTTCAGAGCTTGGATACTGCGCTCCTAGTGCAGTCTCTGAGATGTATTCGCGCGGGTGCCAATGCCTGCAAGCTGAGGCATTGATCCAAAGACAGCAGGTGAGCAATTGCTTCGGGCCGGAGGAGCAGCATGGTGAGGCATAAGGTTCGCAGGAGTTGCAGTTTCAGGTTTGCAGACTTGCAACGTGCTTTAGTAGCAGAGTTTTGGGGTAGCAAGGTTCCTTTATTACTTGCATTCGGGACATGACCAACGGCTGCTTGGGCTACAGACGGATGGAAGTCCCACCTACAGGGGAGCGACGGCCTAAGGCAGTGCCGCAGTCTAGGGGCACTTCCAACTCCCCAATGAGTCAGCTTGTGCTCGTTTAGGTTTTGGCCTGTTGGGTTCAGGGAAACCTTTTGGCAGTGCCGACAGTTGAAACTCGAAGCTATGGCAATGCCTGACATTTTTGCCTGGTAGATAAACATGTTCAGCCTTTTGCCAGGACTTTCTGAGCGACCGACCGTGTGCTAATTTAGGCACGACCCAGCCTTTCCGGGGAAACCCTGCTCCTGCAGAAAGTGACAGGTCGCGATAGAACTTCGCTATCGAGATTGTACCGACACAGCGTTTGTCAGAGCTCGGACTACTACAACTAACTATTCCATTCCTGGGTACATGAGCATGTTGGCCTCTTGTGGTGGAACCTCTTTCGGAAGTCCTTGCACCCGTGATGAAGAGTGTGCCGGGAATGCTTGATCAGAGATACATAGGGTCCAGCTTGTCATGCTATGCAGACGGAGCGTGGGTTCCCCCTTATAGCCAATCCTGAATTCAGAAAACTCACTGGATGGGCCCAGAGGTAACGCTTTTCTCGGAAAACGCTTTTGTTTTTCGTGTTGCCCAGTTCCCATCTGCAGGTTCCGCAGTGTCTGACACCAAGCATCTCGTTCAAAGTGGCAGCAGCACTTAGGACAGGACAGATCTTGAATGCTACCAGTCCGCCACCCGGCAAAGCCCTAGAAGGTAAGAACACCTCAACCAGAGCCCAGGATCTACCGAGCATAGAGGGCGGATGAAGTTACGAAGTGCACGGCATCTAAAAATGCAGACTGGCAGTTTGTTGCATGCGAAACTCTTGTAAAACTCGTCATGTCTTTCTCTGTGACGAGTCGACGAGTCACAACCGCAAGCCGAATACTCGATACCCAGATGATTAGCACGGAATAGCAATGCTATCAATGCTGTCCCACTAGCACCTTGCAGAGCTATGGATACCCCATGGTTTGGTTGTCTTTGCTAGTGGTTCATCCCCCGATACTGCTGCATGCCAACGAGACTCTGCCGGCACTGGCTGTGCGGCCGTTTGTTTGGTGCTACCTGCGAAGAGGCGAGTGTGGCAGGTGAAGACCATAGTGATTCGAGCTTGGATGTAAGACCTATTGCCTCAGACCGGCTTGCAGCTGCACTTCAGGGTTGGAGGTTTAAGATTCAATTCTTTTAAGACCACAAGCGGACCGGTCGTTGTTACAAACTGCGATGCTCTTCTGCATTACCTGCATAAGGTCTTGCCGCTGAGCTGCCTCACTTAGTTCTGTACCTTACGCTCTGCCCTAGATTTCGCAGACCCGGATCCAAACTAACAGATTGAAGCTTCATGGAAGCGTCGGGATTGTACACTTGACACCGGTCTGCCTGCCGCACGGACTGCCAAAAGTGCAGTAGAGAAAATGCAGCATGGCAGACAGGGGGTTTACTATGGGTTACGGCTCTTCATCGAAATAAAGCTGTTGCACCTGAGCAAGAACCACAATCGACCTTTGGATATTTCTCCGCAGTGCCTGCTCGCTTGGTGCTGGCAGCAGAGCCGATGCCAAGAGGGAGCTCGAACCAGGACCCCCGCGTCTGCTAACGAACTTGCCGACACACTCAACTGCAGCTCTTTTTTTTCTGAATCCTCGAGCAAGGCCAAAAAATTGCCCTGAATGAGCGAGTCTTTGTCGTCGGTCAATACTCGGGGCCGCCATTAGCAGATACTGAAAAAAGGAGCTACGCTTGAGCGTCCAAATTGGAGCGCTTCAGGAATCATGAGCCAACCTTTGGTGCTTCACGACTATACCTTAACCCCAAAAAACTTACCTTTGTAGGGACTTATATAAAGAAATCATATTAGGGGGCCCTAAAAGGTAGGTTCCTTGGGCTCCAGGTAGATTCTGTGAAGATATGCTTTGTCTTAGTGGAAGGATCTTGAGCAGTCATGCCAGATAACACATTCAGGCAAGCCCGGCAGAAGTATGCAGCAGAAAGGTGCGTTCCTGAAGCCGTGCCATTGAGTTTTGGAATCAACGCTCATATGTTCCCTCCACACGAGGAGGTGGTGACTGCTTGTGCCTTCTCGTCGTGGCTGCTGCACTTGCTGCGTGCTTGAGGGGCTTGGGCCTCATGTTGAAAAAGCATATATCATGAGTCAGAACTGTTCACCCGCCATGTTATTGCCAATTGTATTTGTTGCAAGACATATTTCACTCATGACGATCTGAGAGCATGTCATCGACTGCCTCGCTTTTTTTGGAAACTCATCTACAGCTGGAAGCAAGGAACAGAAAGGAACCCATCATCTCTACTGACTCTACTCAGTATTAATGTTCCTGACAGCACAAGGTCGCTGATGAGGGCAAACTTTACATCGCGAAGTATGCCCACATATATACACCCGCACGCACTTGCACATATCCGTTTGAGTACGCACACACACACACACCACTTCTCACTTACTTGCATGTTTCTGGTTTGGTTGTGAGAGAACATGCATGCGTTTATTCTTGATAGTTAGATCAACAGATTGATCGATAGATAGTTAGATAGATAGATACATAGACAGATAGACAGGCAGATGATAGATAGACAGCTAGATAGGTGGGTGGGTGGGTGGGTGGGTAAGTAGATAGGTAGGTAGATGAACAGATAGATTAGATAGGCAGACATGTCCGTTGATTACTCTCGAATGCGCACATGTACACATGTACCCCAGTGGACTCATGTATCTGCGCTACAGCATCCTACATCAAACTGCTTACCGACATGTAGCAATTCATCGCAGTATACCAGCTCTGCTTCAGAGTTAAGCACCGCCGAAGCATCAGCAGCTTGTGAAGCTAGCAGAGAAGCTCAACTGCTACAGCCTGGGTTCATTGGGACGGAGCTTGGCGGTACACGCTGGCAATGCCCGAACCTTTGCGTGAAGAACACTGGAGTTGGCAAAAGCCGTGGCTGCAGCCATCATGTGATTACTGGCATCTCCGCTATCGTTGGCTGACATACTCATATTACAGTAGTGACTCAGCAGCGAGATCTACTGACCAGGAATTTGCGAATGAACGCTTTGAGGTGGCAACTTTTTTGT